GGGTGGACCATGGCAACACTTTATTGGTAGGAGACAGGATTGTACCATGGGTTTATTGGTAGGAGACAGGACCATGGGGTGGACAAGACTTTATTGGTAGGAGACAGGAGGGTGGACCATGACAACACTTTATTGGTAGGAGACAGGATTGTACTGGGTGGACCACTTTATTGGTAGGAGACAGGATTGTACTGAGTGGACCATGGCAAGACTTTATTGGTAGGAGACAGGACTGTACTGGGTGGACCATGGCAAGACTTTATTGGTAGGAAACAGGATTGTACTGGGTGGACCATGGCAAGACTTTATTGGTAGGAGAGAAGACTGTACTGGGTGGACCATGGCAACACCTTATTGGTAGGAGACAGGATTGTACTGGGTGGACCATGGCAAGACTTTATTGGTAGGAGAGAAGACTGTACTGGGTGGACCATGGCAACACTTTATTGGTAGGAGACAGGATTGTACTGGGTGGACCATGACAACACTTTATTGGTAGGAGACAGGATTGTACTGGGTGGACCATGGCAAGACTTTATTGGTAGGAAACAGGATTGTACTGGGTGGACCATGGCAAGACTTTATTGGTAGGAGAGAAGACTGTACTTTATTGGTGGACAGGATGGCACCATGACTTTATTGGTAGGAGACAGGAGTGTACTGGGTGGACCATGACAACACTTTATTGGTAGGAGACAGGACTGTACTGGGTGGACCATGACAACACTTTATTGGTAGGAGACAGGATTGTACTGGGTGGACCATGACAACACTTTATTGGTAGGAGACAGGATTGTACTGAGTGGACCATGGCAAGACTTTATTGGTAGGAGACAGGATTGTACTGAGTGGACCATGGCAAGACTTTATTGGTAGGAGACAGGACTGTACTGGGTGGACCATGGCAACACTTTATTGGTAGGAGACAGGATTGTACTGGGTGGACCATGACAACACTTTATTGGTAGGAGACAGGATTGTACTGGGTGGACCATGACAACACTTTATTGGTAGGAGACAGGATTGTACTGGGTGGACCATGACAACACTTTATTGGTAGGAGACAGGATTGTACTGGGTGGACCATGACAACACTTTATTGGTAGGAGACAGGACTGTACTGGGTGGACCATGACAACACTTTATTGGTAGGAGAGACTGGGTGGAGGACAACACTTTATTGGTAGGAGACTGTACTGGTGGACCATGACAACACTTTATTGGTAGGAGACAGGATTGTACTGGGTGGACCATGACAACACTTTATTGGTAGGAGACAGGATTGTACTGGGTGGACCATGGCAAGACTTTATTGGTAGGAGAGAAGACTATACTGGGTGGACCATGGCAACACTTTATTGGTAGGAGACAGGACAGTACTGGGTGGACCATGACAACACTTTCTTGGTAGGAGACAGGACTGTACTGGATTTATTGTACCAACACTTTATTGGTAGGAGACAGGACTGTACTGGGTGGACCATGACAACACTTTATTGGTAGGAGACAGGAGTGTATTGGGTGGACCATGACAACACTTTATTGGTAGGAGACAGGATTGTACTGGGTGGACCATGGCAAGACTTTATTGGTAGGAGACAGGATTGTACTGGGTGGACCATGGCAACACTTTATTGGTAGGAGACAGGACTTACTGGGTGGACCATGGCAACACTTTATTGGTATTAGACAGGACTTACTGGGTGGACCATGACAACACTTTATTGGTAGGAGACAGGACTGTACTGGGTGGACCATGACAACACTTTATTGGTAGGAGACAGGACTGTACTGGGTGGACCATGGCAACACTTTATTGGTAGGAGACAGGATTGTACTGGGTGGACCATGACAACACTTTATTGGTAGGAGACAGGACTGTACTGGGTGGACCATGACAACACTTTATTGGTAGGAGACAGGACTGTACTGGGTGGACCATGACAACACTTTATTGGTAGGAGACAGGACTGTACTGGGTGGACCATGACAACACTTTATTGGTAGGAGACAGGACTGTACTGGGTGGACCATGACAACACTTTATTGGTAGGAGACAGGACTGTACTGGGTGGACCATGACAACACTTTATTGGTAGGAGACAGGACTGTACTGGGTGGACCATGACAACACTTTATTGGTAGGAGACAGGACAGTACTGGGTGGACCATGACAACACTTTCTTGGTAGGAGACAGGACTTACTGGGTGGACCATGACAACACTTTATTGGTAGGAGACAGGACTGTACTGGGTGGACCATGACAACACTTTATTGGTAGGAGACAGGACTGTACTGGGTGGACCATGACAACACTTTCTTGGTAGGAGACAGGACTGTACTGGGTGGACCATGACAACATTTTATTGGTAGGAGACAGGACTGTACTAGATTGACAATGGCAACACTTTATTTTGTAGAAGACACAACGTACAGGGTGGCCAATGACTGTATATAAACACTTCATGCCTTCTTTTCTAGTGTAAATCTACTGTTGAAGTTGTATATCATGACATGACAATGACAGATTTATAAGTAACACATTTGTATAAGATTTCATTATCTACATGAATTTAATCTCTGTATTCTGTTGAGATGAGTTGAAAATCAAGGACAGATGTTTATAAACTATCAAGTGTTTTCAGATAGTGATATTGCGACTATAAATATTGACTACTAGTATTTTCAGATGATGTTACAAAATGTGGAACATGGAACTAAAGGAAAATTTAGTCAAGTTCAAATAAAAGTTGAGACAATGATAAACCTTAGTAATTACTAAACAACGAACATTTATCCCCATTCATCTAAACTTTAGCAGTAACAAAGACTTTTATCTCTCCAAACGCCCTGTTTAGATATCACAACTCAAACAAAACACTCACCGTAATACATTATCTTAATACAGATAATGGAATGCCCCTTAACATTCAACAATTGTATCAAATAATTTCTCACTCTATATGAGATTTATAGCTATTTTATCAATTTTGACACAATGACTGATGGCTTGCTTAAAACATTCTATTAACCTAGCATTTATACAGAATAATTTAGACAGGATATCAAGCACCATATAAGATAATATGGACAGGATATATAGCACCATATAAGATAATATGGACAGGATATTTAGCATCATATAAAATAATATAGACACAATATCAAGCATCATATGAAATAATATGGACAGAATATTTAACACCATGTAAGATAATATGGACAGGATAACCAGCACTGTAAACATCTTACTAAAACAATAATACTGATATAATATCCTTCACCATATAAGATATCAAGCACAGCTAAGCACCATACAAAATAATGTGGACAAAAATATCTTACATTGTAAGAAATGATACAGACAGAATATTACACACTATAAACAGTATTAAGGACAGGACACCTAGCACCATACAAAATAATGTGGACAAAATATCTTACATTGTAAGAAATGATACAGACAGAATATTACACACTATAAACAGTATTAAGGACAGGACACCTAGCACCATACAAAATAATGTGGACAAAATATTTTACATTGTAAGAAATGATATAGACAGAATATTACACACCATAAAGAGTATTTAGGACAGGACACCTAGCACCATACAAAACAATGTGGACAAAAATATCTTACATTTTAAGAAATGATATAGACAGAATATTACACACCATAAAGAGTATTAAGGACAGGACACCTAGCACCATACAAAATAATGTGGACAAAATATCTTACATTGTAAGAAATGATATAGACAGAATATTACACACCATAAAGAGTATTAAGGACAGGACACCTAGCACCATACAAAATAATAACACTGATAGGGTATCCAGCAAGATATGAAATGATAATACAGAGTGGATATCCAGCGCTGTAGAAAGTATGGACAGAATATCAAGCACTCTGTGAAATATACAAATTTAGGCAAAGGAATATCTAGCACCATACCATATAATACAACCTTCTTTAGACAGAAAATGTCCAGAGTCTATAACCAATATATCCAGCTCCATACCTAATAGTTCATTTCCATTGTGAAAATTGCAAAATATTGTAAATTTGAAAACTTGAATTTATTCAATAAGTTAAATGATGAACATCTTTACTAATTTTTAAAATCTAGTGTTTGTATAAAATTTTCATTAAGGGCATTTCCTTGCTGGTAAACGAGTGATATTTATTTATAGACAATATGGATAACAAAGAATTTTTGATCGCGTTACTATGTTGTATCTTGTTAATCATTGTGCACTCACAAGAAATATATTTAAGAAATTCATCAAATTAAATAAATATTCTATACAAAATGAAGTCATTTCTATTATGATATTTTGAATTTCATACATTGAAAAATATTGCTTTGGAAAATTTGTCATCGTGAAGAATAAAGTTTACCTACTAAACAACAATTTAAGAAAAATATCAATGAAAATGCATTATTACGTTTCTGAAGCAGATAGCACATCTCAAAAGAATAAATTTGTAGACAATTTCTGAAGTGTTGTTAATAGTAAAAGTCGGCATGGATATGAAAACTTTGTGTCAGCATATTGTTATGTAACCTCAATTTTACTAAGATATGTATCTCTCTCTCTACATATATATCTATATATATCTATATATATATAAACACACACATATATTATATATATGTATATATATAATATCGAACTAGATTCGATATCGTACAAACAAAATGGTGGACAAGATATACACCGCATTAAAAATGCTCTAGCATCGACCAATGACATCGCAGACATACAGTCTTCACTAATCCACAACAGTGCAAACAAAATGGCGTCGTACGTAACTTTTACGGAAGTAAAATCTCAAAAAAAAATTCCTTAATGCTACCTGATATTTAATGAAACAAAAATCATCGCTCAATTTATCACAAGTCGAAAAATGCAGCGTGATCTTCTAACATATATTGCAGGTGAAATGAAGCTGAAAGGCAAAAACTGTGAGAAAAAACTCAATTTCACTTACCATTTGGTGCATTTTGTGTGGCCATTTCACCAGCGGGAGACCCCTAGAATTGAAAATGATAAACGTATAGATATAACTCTAGATTTAATCATAATAGATATTACAAAATGATTTATACTTAAAAAGTGATACAGATAAAAAATTACTAGAAAGCTTCAGTTTTCAATTCCTTATCCATATGACATGTGTATATAAGCGCTATATAGAAGTCGCCATCTTGTTTTTTCTGTCTAAGAAACAACAATGCACTATTCGAGGGTAAAAATGCTCTAAAGGGCTGATTATGTTGGCTGTAAATTACAGGAAGATTTACTAGGGGAGATTATAATTTGTAGGCAGGTTACATAAAGATCAACTAAAGTGTACAAGGTACCCTACATCAACATATTACATAACTTTTTACACACGCTCAACCTATCCCCAACTCATCCAGATGCAAAAATGTAAATAACACAAGCGCAGTGACTATGTTATCAATCAAACAGCTAGGAACCTGTAATTTTGTATTTAGTGAACTCCTACCTTTCTATAATAATGATACAAGAAGTCCATCACATACATGGCACAGCCGAAGCAGTGTGATCAATACGGGATTCAAAAATTAAAATTCCAATCACCAACATTGACATGGTTGAGCAGTAATAACTGTATCCAATTCATTGTCCTTCTCATATAGAGATTAGAGAAGTTTACATCTGTTAGGAAACTATATCATAGGCTCGCATAACAACTGCAAAAGATGGAGGGAAAAAAAAAATCTAAGAATAGAAAAGATTGTGGAGGCCGCTTTACAGAGATAATATTAAACATTAAGTGGAGTGTGACATTGCTGGGTTAAATAAATCTCGAACAAAGGTTCACGCTTGAAACATCACTGTCCAATCAGACACAATGACCAAATATGTCCTATTTAGGTAACGATGTAACATGCTATGTAAGATATTTCTCCTGATTGAAATGTAACCTATCAATACCAGATGGTGATGAAAACGACTACCATGCGACTTAAGCATGGACATAACTTTGCCTCCAATATTGATTCTACCATAAACAAATTAAGCTTGATTTTTACTCCAAGATTACACACTAAAATAAAACTGAGGTGAGGTGTTAGTGCAAAATGCTGTCAACGGCTAGGCCCCATGTTGGACCCCTGTGCTGCTATGGAAGTGTGTGTCGTGAGGAGTCTATACACCTCCATGGAGGCAGTGTCGCTGCAAAATACTGCAGACGATTTACAATTGACATGTGTGCATATGCATGCTTTACATGTCGGCCAAACTGGCTGCGATCAGTAGCTTCCTAGCACTAAGGGATGTCAGTAGTTCATTCAACTTGTACCATGTTATCTATATGAAATTGTACTGAATGCACACTTCTTAAAAGATTTGATCAAGTGTGACAGGAATTGTACCATGATCAAGTAAAAAAAATAAATTATTTAATGGTTGAATACTGGTGGAATCAAGCGACTTTACACAACATCATGCGGTGAAATGTGTCTGAGCTTCAAGTGTATATTTGTATCAGATAAAATGTATGCAGATATAGTGCACATAGTTCTTATCACACAAAGATGTTGAATATAAAAAATAGAATTATACATGTATCATAAATCAAATGGACAGACAAAACATAACTAAAGACTGTGAAACACAGGACACAGACTGTGATAGACAGAGGGAGGTAGACACCAGGACACAGACTGTGATAGACAGAGGGAGGTAGACACCAGGACACAGACAGTAACAGACAGAGGGAGGTAGACACCAGGACACAGACTGTGATAGACAGAGGGAGGTAGACACCAGGACACAGACTGTGATAGACAGAGGGAGGTAGACACCAGGACTCAGACAGTAACAGACAGAGGGAGGTAGACACCAGGACACAGACTGTGATAGACAGAGGGAGGTAGACACCAGGACACAGACTGTGATAGACAGAGGGAACCAGACACTAGGACACAGACTGTGATAGACAGAAGAAAACAGACACCAGGACACAGACTGTGATAGACAGAGGGAAGTAGACACCAGGACAAAGACTGTGATAGACAGAGGGAGGCAGACACCAGGACACAGACTGTGATAGACAGAAGGAGGGACACAGACATAGACATAGGGAGGTAGACACCAGGTCACAGACTGTGATAGACAGAGGGAGGTAGACACCAGGACTAAGAAAGTAACAGACAGAGGGAGGTAGACACCAGGACACAGACTCTGATAGACGGAGAGAGGTAGACACCAGGACACAGACTGTGATAGACAGAGGGAGGAAACAGACACCAGGACACAGACTTTGATAGACAGAGGGAGGTAGACACCAGGACACAGACTGTGATAAGCAGAGGGAGGTAGACACCAGGACACAGACAGTAACAGACAGAGGGAGGTAGACAACAGGACACAGACTGTGATAGACAGAGGGAAACAGACACCAGGACACAGACTGTGATAGACAGAGGGAGGTAGACACCAGGACACAGACTGTGATAGACAGAGGGAAACAGACACCAGGACACAGACTGTGATAGACAGAGGGAGGTAGACACCAGGACTCAGACAGTAACAGACAGAGGGAGGTAGACACCAGGACACAGACTGTGATAGACAGAGGGAGGTAGACACCAGGACACAGACTGTGATAAACAGAGGGAGGTAGACACCAGGACACAGACAGTAACAGACAGAGGGAAGTAGACACCAGGACACAGACTGTGATAGACAGAGGGAAACAGACACAAGGACACAGACTGATAGACAGAGGGAGGTAGACACCAGGACACAGACTGATAGACAGAGGGAGGTAGACACCAGGACACAGACTGTGATAGACAGAGGGAGGTAGACACCAGGACACAGACAGTGATAGACAAAGGGAAGTAGACACCAGGACACAGACAGTGATAGACAGAGGGAAACAGACACCAGGACACAGACTGTGATAGACAGAGGGAAACAGACACCAGGACACAGACTGTGATAGACAAAGGGAAGTAGACACCAGGACAAAGACTGTGATAGACAGAGGGAAGCAGACACCAGGACACAGACTTATAGAGAGAGAAAAGTAGACACCAGGACACAGACTGTGATAGACAGAAGGAAACAGACACCAGGACACAGACTGTGATAGACAGAGGGAGGTAGACAAAAGGACACAGACAGGAGGAGGTAGACACCAGGACACAGACTGTGATAGACAGAAGGAAACAGACACCAGGACACAGACTGTGATAGACAGAGGGAAACAGACACCAGGACACAGACTGTGATAGACATAGGGAGGTAGACACCAGGACATAGACAGAGGGAGGTAGACACCAGGACACAGACTGTGATAGACAGAGGGAGGTAGACACCAGGACTCAGCCAGTAACAGACAGAGGGAGGTAGACACCAGGACACAGACTGATAGACAGAGGGAGGTAGACACCAGGACACAGACTGTGATAGACAGAGGGAGGTAGACACCAGGACACAGACTGTGATAGACAGAGGGAGGTAGACACCAGGACACAGACTGTGATAGACAGAGGGAAGTAGACACCAGGACACAGACTTTGATAGACAGAGGGAAGTAGACACCAGGGCAAAGGCTGTGGTAGACAGAGGGAGGTAGACACCAGGACACAGACTGTGATAGACAGAGGGAGGTAGACACCAGGACACAGACTGTGATAGACAGAGGGAAACAGACACCAGGACACAGACTGATAGACAGAGGGAGGTAGACACCAGGACACAGACTGATAGACAGAGGGAGGTAGACACCAGGACACCCACAGGGAAGTAGACACCAGGACACAGACTTATAGACAGAGGGAGGTTGACACCAGGACACAGACAGAAGGAGGTAGACACCAGGACACAGACAGTAACAGACAGAGGGAGGTAGACACCAGGACAAAGACAGGAGGAGGTAGACACCAGGACACAGACTGTGATAGACAGACACCAGGACACAGACTGTGATAGACAGAGGGAAGTAGACACCAGGACAAAGACTGTGATAGACAGAGGGAGGCAGACACCAGGACACAGACTGTGATAGACAGAAGGAAACAGACACCAGGACACAGACTGTGATAGACAGAGGGAAACAGACACTAGGACACAGACTTTGATAGACAGAGGGAGGGAGACACCAGGTCACAGACTGTGATAGACAGAGGGAGGTAGACACCAGGACTCAGACAGTAACAGACAGAGGGAGGTAGACACCAGGACACAGACTGTGATAGACAGAGGGAGGTAGACACCAGGACACAGACTGTGATAGACAGAGGGAGGTAGACACCAGGACACAGACAGGAGGAGGTAGACACCAGGGCACAGACTGTGATAGACAGAAGGAAACAGACACTAGGACACAGACTTTGATAGACAGAGGGAAGTAGACACCAGGACAAAGGCTGTGGTAGACAGAGGGAGGTAGACACCAGGACACAGACTGTGATAGACAGAGGGAGGTAGACACCAGGACACAGACTGTGATAGACAGAGGGGAACAGACACCTGGAAACAGACAGAGGGAGGTAGACACCAGGACACAGACTGTGGTAGACAGAGGGAGGTAGACACCAGGACACAGACTGTGATAGACAGAGGGAAGTAGACACCAGGACACAGACTGTGATAGACAGAAGGAAACAGACACCAGGACACAGACTGTGATAGACAGAGGGAAACAGACACTAGGACACAGACTTTGATAGACAGAGGGAGGGAGACACCAGGTCACAGACTGTGATAGACAGAGGGAGGTAGACACCAGGACTCAGACAGTAACAGACAGAGGGAGGTAGACACCAGGACACAGACTGTGATAGACAGAGGGAGGTAGACACCAGGACACAGACTGTGATAGACAGAGGGAGGTAGACAAAAGGACACAGACAGGAGGAGGTAGACACCAGGACACAGACTGTGATAGACAGAAGGAAACAGACACCAGGACACAGACTGTGATAGACAGAGGGAAACAGACACTAGGACACAGACTTTGATAGACAGAGGGAGGGAGACACCAGGTCAC